TGACACAGACACTTGACTGTTAAATCCCTGGGGACGCCCACCAGGGCGACAACCTCTTTTCCTCTGGAGCAGCCCCCGGGCTCTGGGTTCCAGCCCGGGCTCTGCCTCCCGCCTGCGTGTAGTTGCTGTCTGGTAAGCAGCCCCGGAGAATGGGGTTGTGTTTGCCTCGCCTCCTGCCCAACCCCCCTCCCAGAGCTTCCCCAGGCACAAATGGCTTTGTACAGCCAGGGACAAAAACGGCCGTTCATTCCCCATCCATGCCTCGGACAAAAAGCTGAGTGTGGCCCTGTTTGCTCTGGTTTGGGAAAGATGGCGCTGGTGGGGACCGAGAAGCCTGGGAGCCGAGGGGCAGGCAGGGATGACTAAAGGGCACAGATGGGTGGGGACCACGTGGAAGGTCTGTGTGACCCGGATCCATATGGGAAGGAAGGGCAGTCCCTTTGGTGCCCCTCGACCTGCTAGCGTAAGAACAGGTCACACATGGTGGGGACTGTGGCCACACCTGACGGTTTCCCCATTAGGCTCACTCCCCTGGAGAGAGCCCCCTGGCCTTTACACATCTCCAGAACTTTCCTTCACTCAAATAGTATTCACGGGGTCGGTACACTGTGGTAGTTAAGCATGGACTTGGGAATCAGACGGACCCGCTTTCAAAATCTGTGTCCTAGTCCCAGCTACGTGACCTTTGCCTTGTCACTTACCCGTTCAGCCTCAGTTTCTCCATCTGTGAAATAGAAATAACGATAGCATCTATAGCATTGTCGGGAGGACCAAGTGACACGATCCATGTAGAGTGTGGAGCAGAGTCTAGTATCTAGGAGGTGCTCCATAAGCCATGACAATTTATAATATCAGTAGCTATGGGGGAATGACAATTCAGAAAGTTCTACTTTATGAATGAGTTGCGTCTCAAAGTTAACTTGCAAGTCTGGTTTTTGGACGTAAAAACACAGTTCCCATAGAAACACCGCTAGGGAGAATCTTGAGGTTCCCAGTCAACCCACAAAAACCGATTCAACTGTCAATGTACCAGAAATAGCTGAGTGGTGGCTTTGAAACATGGCAGAAAATTCTTTCATGCTCTTCCCATTGAGAGGTGGGGTCTGTGTCCCCTCTCCTTGAGTCCTGTGGGGTAGCGACTGCTTCAATCGATAGAGTATGGCAGAAGTGACGTTAACGTGGCTTCGGAAGCTGGGTCTTAAAAGGCCATTGCAGCTTCTGCCTCGTTCACTAGAACATTCTTTCTTGGAGGCCTGTGCTGCCATGTAAGATGCCTGAGGCCGCCATGCTGGAGAGAGGTAGAGATGAGAGATGGCTGAGAAGCCCACGGTCATTCAAGGACTGCTAACCTTTCGGGTCCTCCCGGCTGAGGCCCCAGTCATCGTGGAGCAGAGATAAGCCAACCCTGCTACATCACGTCTGAATTCCTGATGTACGACGTCTGTGAGCTTAATAGAAGGGCCGTTGTTTTTTCGTTTTGTTTTTTTCTTTTCGCCACTATATCTTGGGGGCAGTTTGTTACACAGCAGTAGCTGTCCAAAGCACTGTGCCTTTGTAATGAAGATTCTGGCCGCTCTTAACTGGCTAACAGTTGTCGAGTGCTTACTGTGTGCCAAACACATTCTGTGCATTAACTCATCGGTTCCTCTACTGTAAACGAGTAGCAAGTAATCTTAGTATTAAACGCCAAGGCCGCAAACAGTGGCTTTCAACGGAGAAAGTTTCTTATACCTCACTGCCGGGACTTGAAGAAAAACAGATATTAATTAGCCGGGTCTGAGGAGGCACATGGAGACTTTGCAGTGATTATGGATGGCACTTCCAGACAATTCCAAGGGCTGTTAGCGACTGAGGACACGGACTCTTTATTTTATCTAATTTCGCTTCAAAACTCACAGCCTTTCTTTTCCTGCGTTCAGCTGTATCTGTTGCCGAGTCTCACCTGCTCATCACGTGTCTTTTGAGCTCAGATACAGAATGAAGAAAAAGGAAAAGAGATTTTCTCCCCAGCTGTGATTGCCAGACAAGATTCGAGAGAGAGGAAGGCGGAAGGGTGGACCCAAGCGTGAGACGGAAGCGGCCTGAGGTTCATTAACTGAGCAAATTGAAGAAAGAGAGGTTGAAAGACACAGGGACTGTTCTCGGCTTAGTACCGGAAATGGTGGGAGAGATATGTCCAGATGGAGGGAATTGTCCCCTGTGGTGGATGGAATCATTGGCCCCAGTTCTTCACCCCTGCCTGCATCCATATGCTTGCCATGACTTTGTCACGGGTGGAGTGTATGTTACCCGTCCTTGACTTTGGGCCTGGCCATATGACTTGGTTGGACAATGGGGTGCAGCGAAAGGGACAGGGTCCTGGTCTGAGCTTAGGCCCCAAGAGGCCTCATGAGTTTCTACTTGTTCTCTTGTGTCTCTGCCATTGCCGTGAGCAGAACATGTCCGAGCTTGTACTGGTCCTGGGAAGCGGCTGAGAGACTTGTGGAGCCGTGTCCCCCAGCCAACTCATGAACTTGTGAGTAAGAAGTTCATTGTTGGAGGCTGCCATGATTTTAAGATTGTTCCACCGCAGTAGTTGACCAATGCACCAGTAACCCAGCTTACTTACTAGCTGGCACAAATGTGAGTGACTGAAGAGTGTTGGGTAACGGGGAAGGAATTATCCAGTTGACCACTGTGTCAACTGGACTGAGTTACATGTTCCAGAATTCACTGTCCTGTATGTTTCTCGGTCGGGGTTGGCCACAGGAGACGTTCGTGGGGGGTTTGGAAGGCGGAAGCGAAGGAGCCACCATTTTCATGGTCCGACCATCGGAGTCGGGCAGGGGCCGTCGCAGCTCACGCGTGTCACCGTCCGCTCTCTCGCCACGTTGGTGAGGGTGGCAGCCGGGCCCGCAGCCCCTCCAGCGCCCCCACAGCTCCCCGCTCGGCTTCTCAGAGCGCCGGGGCTGTGGGTGTGCCGCCGCGCGCTGGAGGGCACCCCGTGTCTTTGAGGTTGGAGGGGGTGACAGATACACGCGGGTCGCAGTTCGTCCTCCCAGGTTCGGTTTGTCCCTGGCCTCCCCTGCTTCGCAACCCTCTTTCCTTCCCGACCTCTGTCCGTGCTGACCTCGGAGCCCTCCCCCCGGGCACCCACGCAGCAGCCTTGCACAGACAGCTGAGCCAGCCCCCTCCGCTGCGCCAGGGCTGATCTCCACGGACCATAGCATCTCCCCCTTCTCGGGATCCCTCACGGTGGTTCTGCTTCCCCGGATCGGCTCCCGCTGATACAACCACTTAGGCAACTGTACGCAGAAAACACGAGAGCGCCGCATCCCTGCACCGAAGGCAGGGACTTCCTGAAGTCTTTCCGGGGGGGGGGGGGGGGGGAGAAAGACGAGAGCGTCAAGAGTCCGTCGGAGACCAGCGGCAGGCAGAGTCAGGCACTGCGATGCTACGGGAACCGGTCCCCCAGGTGGGCCACCCCCCCCTCCCATTACCCCGAGGGCCACTCTGAAGAGCGGGAAGCAGGGGGATGAACATTACTGCTAGAAGCAGGGAGGAATTGGAGATGCATTTTGCCTCCGGCAGCCTTAGGAGAATTGATCTCCCTAGACTACCAGGCAGGGCTGTTCCAAAGACGGGAACCAGCCGGGGACTGGAAAGCCGGAAGGAGACGGAGCGGCTGTCACCCCTCCCCCCTCTTACCTGTAACCTAGACGTAGAACTAATTTTTTCCTTCCTACCCTCCTGTGGCCCAGGAACGTCCACCCCGCAGCCTCCGCCGGGGCCCGGCTGTGAACCAGGCAGTCAACAAACACCTCTGATCGTGGCCTTTCGCTTCTGTTTCTCAGAATGTCAGTGTTCATGCTGCCTGCCTTTCAAATAGATGCACGTTCAGCTACAGCTAATTTGGAATTTGTTTCTCCAAGAGCATTTAGAATTGTTTTTGCCTGATGCATCAGATTTAAATCCCGGGGCTAATTAATACCGAGGCATGAGAAAGAAAGGAGGAAAGTCGGTTAAAATGACTGGCGGAAATGAACTTGAATAACCTGCTCTTCAGCAGCGTGCTCCGTGGGGCCCAGACGTGCTGACAGGATCATAAGCTGGTGCCATGCCTGTTCCAGATGTCACCTCCTGCCCAGGTGGGGAAGGGACTGAAAGAAATAAGGTGGCCCGCGTGACCGCGTGCCTGTGCCATGTATGTGCTGTTGTGTGTATGTGTGTGCTGTTTGCTATGTGGGTTGTGTGCATCCTGTGTGTGTCTTGTTGGTGTGCATTACGTAGCCCGCGTGTGTAGCCTGTATCACATGTGTTGTGCTGGTGTAGTGTGTATTGTGTGTTATGTGTCTCTTGTGGGGTGTGAGGGTGTGCGCGCGAGTGTGTGTATGAGAGATTATTTTTGTGTTAATTCCTTAAAGCTCAAGGGCATTGAAATGGGCCTTTAAATAAAAGATTCACCGTCTTTGGCTTAGAAGTGGACATCTTCAGCTGGAAACCAGTGGGGTGTTCCCTTCCAGCTCAGCCTGAAACCGAAAGGGGTGGGGGTGAGGGCTGAGGTCGGGGTGTGAAGCTTAAACATTTCAAGGTTCTCCAAAGAAAGCCTCTTCCAGCCGGAGTTGTCTGCATCGGGAGGTGAAAGTTTGGGGCCCCGGGGGACCCAAGAAGTGGTTTAAAAGTGACAGCACGGGGCTGGGTGGTGAAGGGAAAGAATGGGGCCCTAGTCCCGGCACCCGAATCACAGGCCGGCCCCCCCCCCCTCACTAAGGGTGAGAGCCTCTTTCCTTGGTTCACACGAGGAAAGGTTTGCATACCCTGGGCCTGGAGCCCGGGGTTTCTGGAAGGGTCCCATGTACGGAGCAGCAGGATGAACTGTGGGCAGGAGGAGCCGGGAGACATACGCGTGGACCCGGCTTTGGCATTGAACAGCCGTGTGATCTTGGCCATGTTCCTTGTTCTCCCTGAGCCTCGGTCTCTTCTTAGCTTGGGTTCCCCCAGAAGAGACCCGGAAACAAAGATTCAAGTGCAAAGGGTTTATTTGGGAGGTGATCTCAGGAAACACTGGCAGGGAGGTGGAGAAGTAGGGCTGGGAAGAGAAGGAAATCAATAAAGGGGAATTATCACTACTGCCGGCAGCCTGAGCTCGGCCCTTCCGGAACATGCCACAGCGACAGCCAGACGAGGCGGAGACGGAGCCGGGGTATTTATCCACCAAGTCCTGTCAGTCATTGGTTGACGGCTGCTCCTGGAGAGGCGGGAGGCATTCGTTCCTCGAATTTCTGGCTTGCTGCAAAGAACACATGCCAGAAGCCAGATAATCCCCCCCCCCCCCGCCTAGCCTAAGCCAAGGTCCTGACAGCGGCCCCACAGGCCGGACTGCATGGGGACAGAAAAGCCTAAGAGTGTGGGGGATGGGGGATTGACCACCACTACACTATCCTTTCTGCAGAATATGGAACTTGAACCATGGCATCTTTAAAGTTTCTTTCAGGGGCACCTGGGTGGCTCAGTAGGTTGGACGTCCAACTTCGGCTCACATCACGATCTCAGGGTCCATGAGTTCGAGCCCCACGTCGGGCTTTGTGCTAACAGCTCGGAGCCTGGAGCCTGCTTTGGATTCTGTGCCTCCCTCTCTCTCTGCCTCTCTCTCTCTCTCTCTCTCTCTCTGTGTCTCAAAAATAAAAAAAAAAAGTAAAGTTCCTTTCCATTGTAACACTCAACCACCTATGAAAGAACAGTTCTTCCTTCCTTCCTTCCTAATGGAGGATATATGCGAGCATCTACTCAAAGGCTGGTCCTGATGCTGGAGGAGGGCAGGCAGACAGGTGGGGGGACAGGCCCAATACCTAGTGGATGCGAGAAGCCGGGGGAGGGTCCTGGCATAGAAGATTCTGGCTGGAAGAGCCAGGGGAGAGGCAAGGACCCTTGGAGGAGGAACAAGGATTTGTCAGGAGGCAAAAAGGGAGAAAGGCACTTTAAGACATGGCAGAAGGCAGGAGCTAAACATAGTTTGGGGTGGCTGGGATACCTAAAGGAAGCCAGGAAGCGTCAGGGAACGACCCTGGACACATCCGTGGAGTGTGCGGGGCTGCAGGGCCAAGGTCAAGGCTCCTTGTTAGACCCCGGAGGCCCCGGGGAGCTCTCAGAGCTGTTTGCGCTGGGGAGTGAAGGGGTCACATTTGCCTTTCTGGAAGTCCCAGAGCGAGGCGTCAGCAGGGTTGATTTCTCCCGAGGCCTCTCTTCTGGTTTATAGATGGCTCTCTTCTCACTGTGTCCTCACATGGCCTTTCCTCCGTGCACGGAGAGAGAGACAGGTAGAGAGAGAGAGAGAGAGAGAAACGGAGAGAGAGAACTAGCTCTCTGGTGTCTCTTCTTCTAAGGACACCGGTCCTGTGGGATTAGGGCCCCACCCCATAACCTCACTTAACCGGAATGAACCCACCTCCCCCCCCCCCCCACCATAGGCCCTAAGCCTGGATACATTCCCACTTGGGGTGGGGGTGTCAACCCTATTTCGGGGGGAGGCCAGATTCAGTCAGAAAGTCCGTTCTTGTTTCCGGGAGAGAGGTCGCGTGGGCCTGAGTAGTGGCTGGGAACGGGCAGGAAGGAGCACTCACAGCAGAGGGTGCGGCGCTGGGCTGACAGGGGTGAGGACGAGGGAGGGGCTGTCCGCGCCCCGCCGCACGCCCCTCCGGCCCAGCTCTGAGTTCCCCCCGCAGCTGTGGTGGGCCGTCCCCGAGCACGCTCACAGCTTCCCGCCTCCGGTACCCGCACCTCCCTGGCGCGCCATTCCGGGCCTTTCTCTGGCCCCGTGAGAGCTTTTCAGCCCCGAAGTTCCAGGACCTTAACACACCCGGAGCAACTCTCAACCAATGAGGGCTGTTGGAAAAAAACCCCTTAGCTCTTCCATCCTTTGACCGAAAAATTCTGCACGATGGGGCCCCAGTTGCCCACATCCTTTCCTGGCTCTTTGTCTCACTCCCACCCCCTCACTGGGGATCATCCAAGTCCTTGTCTCAGGTCTGCTCTGGTTTCCTGAAAACCACCCTCCCAAGTTGACTGACTTCCCTGAGGTTCTAGGCTATGCCGGGGGAGGGGGGGGGGGGGGGGGGGCCCGGGGGGGGGGGCGGGGGGGAGGGGGCGGTGACATGAGACCCAGGCCAACAATTCGCCTTGCAAGAGCCAAGTTCTCCCTGCACAGTGTCACCATTGTGGATGCCAATCCAGCCACCCTCTCCCCCACTGCCAGCCTTTACCTCTCCTCTCTCCTCTCCCCTCCCTGCCCTAACTTCTAGCTCATTCCTTACGCCCGGCATGTTACTGACTTTACTTAGTGGTCTCCCTCTAAAGAATCCCCTCAGTGACTCCTCTGCCCCCCCCCCCAAGATCTTTTCCCAAACCAAGACCCTTTCCTCCCGACAAGGGACTCAATGGCCAGCCGCTGGGATAGTCATCTGATATCTGACACACCAACACTGAAGGGGGAGGGCAGAAGAAAAGCAGCACACAAGGCTAGTCACGTGGCGCCAGTTGGCAATTGTGACGTGCTGTCACACACACCCTCTCACCCGATGAGGAGGAGCAGGGGACGGAGGAAAAGGGGTAACGGACTGTTTGAGGTGGAATTACCCGGAAGGAGGACACGAAATCGTTCTTAAGGATGGGTTCCCAGGGGTGAGGGGTGGGGGTGGAACGGCAGGGGGAGGATGCTGGGCAAGGCGGGGTGGGAGGCCACGTCCTACCTCAGCTGGATCGTGCGGGGAAGCTCTGGCGTGGGAGTTATCCTTCGGGTTTGGCCCGACTTGAGGCAAGGGAGCTGGAGTTTACGCTTCCAGACCACTCCGTCTTTGACCAAGTGTCTCCTTGGGGGCACAGAAACTTCCGGCACTTTCAGCTCTCCATCCTCTGCATAAAGCAACTCCAGAAACCCCGGGTCCGCCAGCTGAGGAGAATTGCAGGTGTGAACCGTTGGAACTGAGCGCGCGCGGAAGTTGGGGAGGGCACACAGACCCCACCAAAGGCATCTGAGGGCATCTCGGCCGAGCACGGCCGGTGTGGACCCGTGGTCCCCCCCCCCCCATGGATTTGTTTTCCTTCGCCGTGTAACAGATTGTCACAAACTCAGAAACTCAAAACAACTCAAATTTATCATCTCGCACTTCTGTAGGTCTGAAACCCTGCTACCGTGAGACGGGACTTTTTGCTTGGGGTCTCGCTGGGCCCACGTCGGGTGTCGGCCGGGGCTGGGGTTCTCCTCTGAGGCTTGAAGTCTTCTTCCGGGCTCAGCGGAAGTGGACAGAATTCAGTTCTTTGGGGCCGTAGGACCGGGGCTCCATCTTCTTGTAAGTTGTTGGTTGGGGGTCACTCTCAGTTTCCAGGGGCCTCTTGCCGGGTGGTCCCCATAGGCGGTTCACATGGATGTTGGCTTTCTTCTAGGCCATCGGGAGCATGGCACTCGGCCTTCCTCTTCTGCGACCAGCCAGAGAAAACTCTCTGCTTCTAAAGGGGTCACCTGATTAGATCAGGCCCACCCAGAATGAGCCCATTGCTGTCCTGTCCTGTAACATACTTATTGGAGTGATAGTTCATCATAGTCACGGGTTCTTCCCATACTCAAAGGAGAGGGGATTATACAAGGGTGGGAGCCACTGGAGGCGGGGAGGTTCAAGAGGTCCATTTTAGAATTCTGCCTAGAGAGGCCTTGTACCGCCGTCGTTTCCTGAGAAAACCATCCGTGTGAGATTGGCTGAGGGTCTCTGGGAGACATGGTCATTCCATGCTCCCCGTCTCCTGCTCTTCGTGGCGGTTCTTGAGGGCTGCTGGTTTGAGCACCACGATCCACCATTATTTGAGGCCTGCAGACCTTCATCTTCTACTCCCGCTGCTGCCGCCACCGACCGTAGCCTTGTCGTGCCCCTCTGTACTCCCTTTCTGGTGTTAGGAGTCGGGTGATACTACCCATCTCCCCAGCCCCACCCCCACTGCGATTGGGTTTGGGACGGAATTGGGCCTCTGACCTGTCTTAGCGTAACACCAGCCGCTGTAACAAATAAGACTTTCAGATCCCGGTGGCTATCACAACCAAAGTTTGTTTTCTATTTCGCAGAATAGTCTGATGCGGGTGTTTCTGGTGGGTGGGTGTGATGTGATGTGATGTGATGATTCTGGAACCCAGGCTTCTCCTGTCTTGCGGCTCTGCCCTCTCCTGGGGACAGTGCTTCTCAAACTTTAGTGGGCATCAGAATCTTTTGGAGGGCTCCGGACTGCTGGGCCCCACACCCAGCGTGTCTGATTTAGTAAGTCAGGGGTAGGGCCTGAGAATGTGCTTTCGCGTGAGTTCCCAAACGATGCGGATGCTGCTGGTCTCGAGGACCACTGATCTGGGGACTCAGGTGTCCTCAGGTTCTAGTCGGAAGGAAGGGGAAGGAGAGAACGCGGAGGAGGCAGGGGCGCATACCTCTTAAATGCCTTAGTCCAGGGGGATAAACGCAATTTCCCCTCTCATTTGGTAGATGAGAGAATTAGACACATGGCCAGTCCAGAATGCGAGGGTAGTTGAGAAATGTAGTCATGGCCTGCACAACTGTGTGTCAATGACAATTCTATACTACGCAAAGGGGGTAGGGACACGGATCTGAGTGAAACACCTAGCTATCCCTCCCAAGGTAGAACGGTTTTGAACTGATGGAGTCTTACGGTCCAAAAGACTCAAGTAGATAGTGTCAAGGCTCAAAGACGAAATAATCTGTTTTGTGCCAGGGACCTCCATGCCCCAGCTATTTCTATGGGATGTGATCTGACAATGAGCTACCGGACTCGGCCCAATCCCTTGAGATCCCACACTCTCCCACTCGCTGTTTTGAAGGACATGGTTTTCCTTCCTTCAGAGGAAGATCCATCTGATTTCAGGACACAAACCCAAACCAATGACCAGACCAAATGGACCAGACGGACCTAAAAGGTGCATCAGTGATGGTGCCTACCCCCAGATCGTGAGGGCTCCTGGGCTTCCCCATTTCCGGCTGCCATGCCCGGTAACAGTGATGCCATTTTCACGGTCTGGGACACACGGTTTCACTCTCTCTGCCTCCACTGCTTCTCGAGACACTTCCAGCACTTGGCGGAGCTCGGGAGGACAATGCACCTCTGTCCAGATCCACCAAATATCCACCCCAGTGTTGGTAATACACCACGTTTGAATTTTCTCACGGAGGTAATGGATCTTCAGCCATCCTCCCCTTCCATCTCCTGCCCCAGCATGGCTCCTTGTGGCCAAATGGCACCCGTCGCTCAGCCGGGTGGTCACTGCACAGAGCACAGAGCGCAGCCTAGACACGACCACTCTTTATGGAAAGGTTGTCAACTTCCTGTGCCTGAAAGGGATTAACCACCCAGGAATGAAAGGAAGGCATGTTTTCAGTTCCCGTGCGGGGAAAATATTAAAAACACATAAAAATAGTAATGCCAGGAGAACAATAAGGGCCACCTCTTACATGAATCCAGAATGCAAAAGAGCTCAATTCACGCTTAGAATTCACGGCACATAATGTCAGATAATGGCAAGACAGTCCTTCATTATTTCATTGAACACACAGTTATTCAACATCTACTATATACGCTGAGTCATAAGGGTCCCTGGAAAGCTACAATTGATAGGTTTATAGGCCACAGAAACAGAGTGGAAGGGAAATTATTAACAGTGACAATTTGGCTTGCTTCCAGATTACCAACTGATCATTTCAGAGGTTAGTTGCAACTTTGTAGTGTGGTCAGTGAGAATGACTCTAGTTAAAGCCTTGCTCCCGACATCAAGAAGACTGGCTTTTGATCTCAGTTCTGTCACTCACTGGTTGGGTGAACTTGGGCAGGTCAGCTTTCCTGGCCAGCCCTTAGACTCCTCATCTTGGGGGTTTCTATGGCTCTTTTCAGCCGTGACATCCTCTGGATCAGATCTATTCCAACTGAAAACTTACAAATGACCTCACCTTTCCTACTTACATCATCCCGGCTAAGATCACGCAGATAAAGCCATGATTAATTTTATGGCCGAAACAAGGCACATTTATAGGGTATTGAGGTTTAGTTAAGGCAATTAAAGTTAAGGTGACTGCTCTCTAAATGACCAGAAGCATATAAAAAAAGGGAGTTTTGTTAACGTGAAGAAAAGGAAAGAGTTGGTGACTAGTGAGATAAAGGCACTCGTCACTGAAGGAACACGCTCTGAGCCACTGTGGAGGATGCCAAGGGGGCATACTTACAGAGTTAAGAGAAAACACCTCAAAGGTGGATTAAATAATAATTCAAAAACCTATTTTGTGCCGGATGCTTTGTAAACATTAGGTCTAATTTTAACCTCATCCCTGCAAAGTGGGTATTCGCTTCCCCGTTTTACGGATGGTAGAAACCGAGCTGCAGAGAGAGGTGCAAAAAATACAAACCACTATATTAATCTGTCAGTGATACTTAAGGAAAGAATATCAATATCACAGCCAGGAATCTCAGCAAATGGCGAATTTCATCTTTGCTTATATAAATAAATTTCAGTTTCTAGTTCTGGCAATACTATGATCAAGATAACCCAAAACCCCATTTTCCACAGTTATCTACAAGTAAATAAATATTTATTTGAATGAATAGATGTGCGTGTGGGAGATTGACAGGGGCTGTAAATGAAAAGGGTCCTGAAAATGAGGGCAGCAAAGCTTGTGAATGATCACGTGACTGCCTTGTGGTGGGGAGAGACATTGTCTCAGGACTCGAGAGTTTTAGGACAATTTAACGCCCATTTGGCAGGGGCAGGAGCTAGTGCCTCGGGTCCCGTGAGGCAAGAGCTGGACCTGAGATACACCCATAAAGCTGGAACCCTCAGTGTGAAGGTAGATTAGAAAAGAAATCTGCTCACTGTCCCAGGGAAGACCATCTGTCTTGATCTAGGCTCTCGGTGGGAGAAAGAACCTCCTAAGAAATTTCAGCTTGTATCTCATGAAGGTTGGGAATTGAATATATATTACTTCTGTGGTCCAGGACGCCCCTAGTGAAGAAATTGTTGGCAAAATGATAGTGAACCCCCTGGAAAGCCTTGTAGAAACAAAAAGCAAAACGTGACAGGACACTGCATCAATCATGTCTTACAGAATTCCCACAGATAAGATTGTGCTTAAGATGAGCTCACAACTCAAAAATACAGAGCAGTTGAAGAAATAATCCTCCATGAGCAAGACAGAGCAGAATTAGACCCCCAAGAATTTCTGATCGTATAACAATCTATTAAAGACGGTCATGACTAGTTTTATGTGTCAGTTTGACTGGGCTAAGGGATGCACAGATAGCTGGTAAATTATTCCTGGGCGTGTCTCTGAGAGTGTTTCTGGAAGAGATTAGCATTTGAATCGATAGACTGGGTGAAGAAGATTGCTCTTACCAATGTGGTGGGCATCACCCAATCCGTTGAGGCCTAAATAGAATGGAAAGGTGGAGGAAGGGAAAATTTGCTCTCTGTTTGAGCTGGGACATCTGTCTTTTTTTCCCCTTAGACATTGGCCCTCCTGGGTGTCAGGATTTTGGACTTGGACTGAATTATACCACCACATTTCCTGGTTCTCCAGCCTACAGATAACAGGTCATGGTATTTCTTTGTTCCATAATTATGCAAATTAATTCCTATAATAAATACTCTTTTATACATATCTCTATATATCCTATTGGTTTGGTTTCTCTAGAAAACAGTAACACACAGACCATAAAATTAGCATGTTTAAAATTATTAGAAACAGAACAAAACCCCGGACACTATGAAAAAGAACAAGCACATTTAAAAAATAACTAAATAGAACTAGAAATGAAAAAATATATATACGGTCATTGAAATAAAAATCTCAGTATATGAGTTAAACAGGAATTATTGAACCTGAGAATGATGTCAGAGAATTACCC